AAGAAAAGAAAAGAAAGGATGGGCCAAGACTTTACCAACAAAGGGTTAATATCCAGACTATAAACTATAAACTGGCCTCCTTCCCAGCAACCAAGGACAAGTGAGGGACAGAGACAAAGTTAAGGGGAGGGACCGAGGATCCTGGATGCAGAGATGTGGGCAGCAGTCGGCATAGCAAAGAGAGCCCTCGTTAGGAGTCAGGAGTGACGCCTGCAACAGGGTCCCCTCGGCCACCACACTGGCCAGCATCCGCCGTGGGAGGCAGACATTTCTGAGGCCGGTCATGGACGCCTGAGCCCACCCCCCAGCCCTCTCTTGCTACCTGCCCAGAGCCATCTGAGCAGACGTGCGTCAGATGCCTACGAGGCTGTGCTCACTGTAGCATCATTTGTGAAGGTGGGAAAGTAGAAACTGCTGGGCTCTGCGTCAGCTGGGGCCATGGGAAATGGTCACGTGATATGGTTCGCTCCCACATGGGAGCCGGAGAGAATCATCTGCAAGCACCACTGTGCATGAACATCAAAGACATGGTGTTGAGCAAACATGGAAAGGATACGTAAAGTGTGATACCATTTCTGCTATTTTTCAAAACACATGAAGTGATAATAATGAAGATGCGTCCACACTGGCAGAGCCATGCTGGGAATGACAAGAACGGGTCTGGGGCATGAGAGACGCGGTGCCGGGTGCTAAGCGTGACCGAACATGGACCCCAGGGGAGGGGTCCTGGCAGGAGGTGGGGTCGTGGACCGTAGGGCAGGGAGGAGAGGAGGCAGGGACAATGGTCAGCAAGAAGGGTGGACTGGGGGAAGGGGCAGAGTCATTCTGGATGTGCTGGTCTGGGATGGAGGTGCCACCCAGCGCAGCAAGTGTGTGTCCGCAGCTGGGAGCCGTGGGGCCGCAGAAGGCGCGTGTGGGAGTGGCCTTGGGCACAGCCAAGCTCTCCTAAGGAGTGCAGACAAGGACCCCGGGCAGGAAGGTGGAAGCTGGGGGTGGGGGGCAGAGGTCAGACCTGGGCCCTCTGGGGACCTAGTGAGATGGCCGTGTGGTGGTGACCCTTCCGCAGAGAAGAAAGTGGAGATGCCCACAGGTTACGTGGTGCCCCCAGAACGCCCTTGCCAGGCAGCTTCTCCGCGCCATCGGTAGGGGTGGTCCATCCTGGACGTTCAGCCTTGATTTCAGAGACCTTCCAAGTTGGGGTTGAAGGCGGCGGTTCACCTCGGGAGGCCTGTTCAAAACCCAGCTTCTCCCGGAGGACTAGGGAAGGATTGCTGTTTTCTTAGGCATGCATTCTTTTATTTTCTAAATTCTCTACAATGTGCATATATACTTTCATAATTAGGAAGACAGGTGCTAGTCGAATGAGCAAACTGCTCCTGAAGTGTTGTGAACCAGCACAGCTCTCCGTGCCACCCTCCTCTCCCAGCCCTCTGGGGGCTTTGGAAGGGACATCGTCTCCCGCGGGGTTTGGTGTGAGGACGTGCTGGGCACGGCAATGGAAGGCCTGTAGGTAGGTCTGTGCATGCGCATAAGTTCGTTTGAGGATGAAAGTAGTTGTTTTTATTCTAAGAATACATATTCAGTGTTTGAAAAAGTATGTACGAGGCAGAAAGATATGAAGCCAAAAGTCAAGTCATCTGAGATCCCATCCCCTGGAGACACCGCCACTTTGTACTTTGCTATATACATTTTCATTCTTCCAATTTTTCTGTGAAAGCAACACACACACACATTTTTTTCACTTTTGTATTGTGTTAAAATACACACAACACAAAACTTAACATCTTAACCGTCTAAGTGTACAGTTCCGTGGTGTTACAAACATTCACTCTGTTGTTCAGCCGTCCCCACCATCCACCCCCATAGCTCTTTTCATCTCATAAAACTGGAACTCTGTCCCCATTAAACACCAAGTCCCCATTCTCCTGCCCTGCCCCTGGAGCCCACCATCCGGCTTCTGTCTCTATGACCTTGACCTAAGTGCACCATGTAAGCAGAACCACATGATACTTGTGTCTGCGTGATCCCACTCAGCATCGTCCTTGGGGTCCATCCATGCTGCTGCACGCGTCAGAACTGCCTTCCTTTTTGAGGCCAAATGGTATTCCGCTGTAAGGATGGACCGGTTGTCCACTCATCCATCAGTGGGCACTTGGGTTGCTCCCATGTTCTAGCTCTTGTGAATAGTGCTGCTATGAACACAGGGGTACAAATATTTCTTCGAGACCTTGCTACCCAGTAGTGGAATTACTGGGTTCTACGGTAATTCTATTTTTAATTTTTTAATTCAGTCCAAACTGTTGTCACACCATCTGCACCATTTTGCATTCCCAAGAACAGTAGACAACGTTCCAATTCTTCCACATCTTTGCCAACACTTGATGTTTTCTGTTTTTTTCTTTTTGATAGAATCCATCCTAATGAGTGTGCCGTGGTATCTCGTAGTTGTGATCTGCATTTCCCCAGCAATGAGCAGTGTTGAGCATCTTTTCATGAGCTTTTTGGCCATCTCTATGTCTTCTCTGGGGAGTGCCTATGCAAGTCCTTTGCCCATTTTTGAGCCTGGTTGTTTGTTTCTTTGTTGCTGAGTTGTGGGAGTTCTCTATATATTCTGGATACCAACCCCTCATCAGATACAGGATTTGCAAATATATTCTCCCATTCTGTGGGTTGCCTTTTTACTATGTGGATCGTGTCTCTTGATGCACAAAATCTTTACATTTTCATGAAGCCCAGTTTGACCATTTCTTGTTGGGCCATTGGTGTCGTATCCAAGAAATCATTGCCACGTCCAGTGTCATGAAGCTTTGATCCTGTTTTCTCATAAGAGCTTAGTTGTTTTAGGTCTCATATTTAGATCCTTGACCTAGTTTGAGTTAATTTCAGGGTGTGGTGTTAGGTAAGGGTCCAGCTTCATCCCCTCGCATGGGGACGTCCAGTTTTCCAGCACCATTTGTTGAAAAGACTGTCCTTTCTCCATTGAACAGTCTTGGCACCCTTGCCAAAAATCATTTGGCCATATATGCAGTGGTTTCTTTCTTGGCTCTCTATTCTCTTGGTCTATATTTCTGTCTTTAATGCACACACTTATTTTTTGACATAGAAATGTGATTATATGTATTATACAAACTGGCTTTTAAAATTTTTTTATCTATTATTTATTTTTTTAAGATTTTATTTTTAAGTAATCTCTATGCCCAACGTGGGGCTTGAACTTACAACCTCAAGATCAAGAGTCTCCCACTCCACCCACGGAGCCAGGCAGGTGCCCGTGTACACACTGGCATTTAAAAACACTGAGTATGTTGTTTCCATCCTTCCATGTCAGTGAGTATAGACAAGCCATGTTCAGATGGTACCCTTGTATTCTGGTATATGCGCATTCCATTGCTGATGTCAATTATCTCTGTGCAGACACTTAGGATGCTGCCAATTGTTTGTGTAATGTTATGGGCAACATTACTGTAATCATCCTTAAATGAGCTGTATTTGAAGTTGTTAGAGCTGCGCCTGGCACAGGGTGAGTGCTGTGAAAGTATGAAGTCATATTGGCTCAAACACCATTATTCTAGCATTTCCTTGGGGTGCACTTCCAGGCGTCACATTGCCGAGTTCATGGCCGTGCACCCCCTGTTGTGTCTCTGCCTCTGGCCTGGGGAGCAGCCGCCCTGTGACGCGGGCGCGGGGCTGGAACCGGCCCCATAAGCGTTTGCATCCTTGTCTCAGGTCGCTAGCATGGGCCCCTCGGCGCGGGTGGGCTTTGACCTGGTCTCCGGAGCACCCCCCCAGGTGCATGTCAGCCCAGCACCTGTCAGCTGTGTGACCGCGGGCAAGCCACCCAGCCCCTCCAGGCCTCAGGTCCGTCACCTGTGCGGGAGAGATGGCAACGACTGTTAGCCAGGGCAGCTGTCATGACTGAAATGGGTCCGTGCCTGTGAAGAGCTCGGGAGAGTGTCGGCGAGCAGGGTTCTTGCTGCTGTGGAAGGCTCGCGCCAGCGTTAACCAGAACAGCTTGGTAATGTGTTCTAACTTACAGTTACGCAGGTGTGGACAAGCACAAGGATAACCCAAACCTACAGTTTCCCACATTCTCATGATCATACTGGATGTTATCGGTATTCACTCTGTGGGTTCCTGCCAGTATGACGCCCGCTGGGTCTAGGGTGGGGTGAAATTTGGACATTTGGGTCCAAGTTGGAGGGGTGAGGTGGAAGGGAAGGGCAGGCACAGGGCTGGCTGGGAGCAGAGGGGCAGGCAGCGCCCCCACTGGCCAAGGATCCGGCCCTAACTGGGGAGAACCACGGCTGGGAGCCTCGTCCCTCATCCCCTCCTGGTTCTAGACCCCAGTGCAGCTTCGGCTAACGTCTTGGGCAGGGCAGCGCAGGGCAAGGCCACCTGCATCACTGGTCGTAATTGTTTCCTTGATCCAATCAGACGAGCTGTTCCTAAGTGCCCTGCATCCTGGAACCCTGTAGGACCTGCCTTTTCCAAAGCGCCTACTTCGCTGCACTTTGCTTCTCTGGAGCTTCATGGTGGGATTTGGCTGCATGAACGGCCAGGAGAGCTCAGGTGCTCCACACTCACACGACCGGCCATGGCCTCACTTGTCGGATTCATTCGTATGTTTTCATTCCTCAGGGTTTAATGGATACTCATCTTTCTAGCCACCTCACCATTTACAATAAAACATCCTTTTGGAGTGGAAATGCCTTTGTATCACTGACCTTATAGCTACGTAAAATCCAGAGGGGATTTTCTAAGAAGGGAACTGAAATGACCTCCTGAAGCAGCTGGTCACCGGGGGCCATCTCTGTGCACCAGACTCATGCAGCACGGCCCATGGCCCCCACTTGTTTCCCAGTGAGGACGTGGCCAGACCAGCCCCGGGCCCGGGATTCCTCCTGCTGTGCACACGGGGAAAAGCAGCTGCCAGGCCGGTCCGCAGGGCTGTGCCTTCGCCGCGGGCAGGGCAGACCGCCTCCTCCCCCACCCGGTAGCCCTCTATGCGGTCTGGGGTTGGAGCGCGGTGCTGGGCGTTCCTGAGAAGCCTGGCCAGGGAGGAGAGCCGAGGGACCGGCTGCCGGCATCTGCTTAGAAACGCGGCGGAGACGGTCCCTCCCCCTGGATGCAGGGCTGGTAAATTCCATCTGAAAAATAAGAGCTGAGCGCTCTGCTGAGTCATAGAAGAACCCTGGGAGCGGATTGCACGCGCAGGCCCGAGTCCCAGCCGAGCCAGAGGGATCCACGGTCAGGAGGCAGCAGAGGTGAGAGCCGGGGCCCAGCTCTGAGGGGGGCAGGCTTTCTGATCTGAATGCTGCAGAGGCTTTGCTATTTTCGGCCTGGGCTCCAGGTCTCTGTGCACATGCTTATTACATTTGAGTTCGCTTCTATATTTAGTATGCAGCCCTATGTCGCGGGAAGTGAACAGTGTGCAAGAGCATGTCCTCTTAGCTGGGCGGAGAATATGGTGGCCCGGGAGGCTTGCGATGCCCTTGGCTCTGTGCTCCTGCTTGCAGCCCGGGGAGGCTGGGCCTGCTTCCCTGTGGGCAGTGGGTTTCTCCGCCCCAGGCTCCCTCGTCCCCCAACGGGGGCGGCCGGTGCAGGGGGACGCCTTTGGGCTGGTTTTCTTGTTTAGTTCCAGGCGTGTTGATGGCCCCGGGGTCGGGTGGGGTCTTGTCTGTGACACTTGCTCAGGACTCACATTTCGTCCACGGACACCACTTCTTATGCGAGGAACTTGCGTTTGGGGGAAGCAGCAGCTTGTTAGCTGCTTTCCCACCCTTTTCCGCGGCAGACGCGGCGGCTACCCCACCATGGCTGGGTCTCCCCGGCCGTTCCAAGGAAACCCGTGGTCGTGGTGGAGACAGTACCGCATACCACGGGGAATCCGGCAAGACACGGGCACGCGGGGATCTGAACATCGGCCGGACAGCTGTGTAAGCGGGTGGACGCTCGCCACGGCCGCGGCTCTGCCCGTAAGTGGGGCCGAGCCGGTCACAGAACAGAAGGGATCCCTTCGCTCAAACCCCGGACCGGAGTTTGTACCAGAATATTCTCAGTGGGTGCAAGCCTTTGAACAGTTCCGCCGCGGCAGCTGCCACGGACGAGCAGGTCAGGCCAGGGCGTGACCTCGCTCCCAGGTTACGGGTGAAAGGCCAGCTTTGTCCGAGGTTCTCTGGGGACTTCGGAAAGTCTAGTACATGGCGGTGTGTCGCTCTTTGGGCTGAGGGTGCGGCCGAGGGCTGGGGGCGGCGCGTTCGTGTCCCGGTTTCCTTTTCCGTGGTTCCGCACTGCCCTGAGGCCGCCCCCCGGACGTGGGCAGGGAGCCCACAGACGCCCTCCAGGGCCGGCCGCTTGGAGGTCCCGGCGGGGATATCTGAGCGGCTGCGAGGGTCCCCGCAGCCAGGCTGCTACGAAGAAGGCGACAAGACTCTCCGTCCCCGAAGTTTGGAACAGGCTGCTCTAGGAGCTCGTGGAGGCTTCGTGCCCCTGGCATTCCACGTGGGACACACGCCACATCTTCTCACTTCTCTCCTGCCTGGTTTCCAGACCCACGAGCTGCCTGGATGCTGGAGCAGCCCTCTGTAGTGCAGAAACGTGGTCTTTCTGGAAACAACCCCCCCACCCGTCTTCCTGCACGAACCGCCCGACTCCTGTCTCAGGTGTGGTGCCCTGGGCGGGCTTCGGGGAGCGCCTGAGGGTGCTCGGGAGCCACAGGTGGGAGCCGGCCTTCGTTGGCCGCACAGGACAGCGAGCGGCGGGCCATGGCCGCCCCCTGGCACCCTTCCCCACGGCCCCGCAAGCCAGCACTTTGTGACAGCTCAGGAAGTTCTATCAGAACCCCCTGGCGGGTGCAGCTGATGAGGCGGGCCGTGGGAACCCGCATCCGTGCCACAGAGGGTTGGGCCCAACAACGGCCTGGCCTCGACGTGAAGCCAGACCCAAGCCTAGAGGAGGGAAGGGGCCTCGGCTGGGGATTCTGTCCTGCTCGCGATGAGGACTTTGACTCAAGGGGAAGGCCGTGAATGTTCAAGCCCAGACACCCGGAGACTCGGTCAGCGTCTGCTTTGCACACGGCGTCTCCAGGGTTAGAGCGCGCAGCCGTCGCGGAGAGACCCGGGCCCCAGAGCCCTGGTGGACACCCCCTCCTGGTAGGAGCCGCGGCGGCAGGCTGGGGTCACTGTCAGAGCTGCTGGAGTGAACCCAGGGAAGAAAGAAGAGAAGGCTTCTTCCCATAGGCCCTGGCTCATGACCTCCATGGACGCAGGTTGGTGCTGTCTCCTCCCGGCCCTGGGGGTCCCCGCACCCAACGGCCAGCTGTGCAGCCCCTGTTCTGGACACCGGCGAGACACAAGGGTCTGCGTCCTTCTAACAGGTCGTTAGATGCATTTTCTTTATGAAATACAGGGTTTGTTGTTTTTTTTTTTTTCATAAAGTGAGTATATTCTCATGATCGAAACGGTAAAAAAATCTAGAAAAGGAAAAAAAAGAGACTCACAAAGTAAGATATGAAAATTTTAGAATATCTTCCTTTTCCTTTTTTTTTCCTATCCATTCCCATTTTGCCTTCTGTCTTCCCCCTTGTAAGAGACACTCCTGTTAGAATAAGCTCCTACCAAGCATCCCTTTAAAGTCTGCCCCATGTCTCATTGTGCGGGACCTGCATCCCTACGAGTAGAGGTTGGTTCTGGGTTTTCATGCAGACAGCATGGCACTGAGCACCTCTGAACAGAAGGTTTTCCCGGATCCAGATGACCTCCCTGGGGTTAGACTGCCAGACGGACAACCCTTGGGTTGAACACTAGGAGCACCCTGCAGGTCTGTTAGCACGTCGCTCCCTCCTTCCCAGAAGGGCCCACAGCTCACCTGTCTCACGGGGATGCCTGGAACAGCCAAGTGAGTGTATCATGCGGGGCTTTGAAACTTCCCTTTACGCCCTCGAAACCACCTCTATCCTCAAGATGTGGAATATAACCACCTCTCTAAAGGTTTTTCATTCCTCCCTCCCAGTTCCTCTGGACAAGCCCATCTCCCCAGGCCGCCCCTGAGCTGCTCGTCATTGCATTAGTTTATTTTCTCTAGAACTGCGTATAAATGCAGTCATGTGGTGTGTGTATATATATATATATATATTTTAGATCTGGCTTCTTTCACTCTGCATAATTACGGTGAGATTTATTGTTGCACATATCATTATTTATTTTTTTTTTTTCTGAGCATCGTGTGACTATACCCTAGTTTGTTTTCCATGCCCTGGTTGATGGATTTTGGGGTTGCTTCCAGTTTTTGCTGTTACAGATAAAGCTGCTATGAACATTCATGTACAGATCTTTGCACAGACACTGACTTTCATTTCCCTTGGGCTCATACATAGGCCGATCCTACGGTAGGTAGGTGTGTGTTCCATGTTTTCAGAAAGTAGCAAAGCGTTTTCCAGGTGGTTGAACCATGGTGCATCCCCAGCAGCCATGCATGAGAATGCCGGTCCCTCCGCATCCCCGCAGTGCTGGGCATGGCCAGTCTTTACCAAGTAGCCATGCTAACAGGTGTGGAGTGGGGCACCTTGTTTTACTCTAATTCCCTGACGATGGCTGGTGCATCCTTTCATGTGCTTATTTGCTGTCTGTACACTTGCTTTGGTGACAAGTCTTTCAAAGCTTTTGCCTATTTTTAAACTGGGTTGTCCTTTTATTATTGAATTTTGAGAGTTTTAGAATATATATATCTATATATTCTGGATACAAGTCCTTTATCCGATGTGTGTTTTGCAAATATGTTTTCTCAGTCTGTGGCTGGTCTTTTCATTTTCTTAACAGTATTTTTCAAAGACAAGAAATTTAAAATTTCTATAAAGTCCAATTTGTCAATATTTTCTTATATGGTTTTTGCTTTTTTGTCCTAAGATCGTGAAGATTTGTATCTATATTTTCACTTGGAGGTTTTATGGCTTTATGGTTCAGTCAGTTTCATGATCCCTTCAGACTCGATTTCTAAACATGATGTGAGGTATGGGCTGAACTGTGGGTATTTGGGGCTTTTTCATTTGGGTATATAGACGTGTAAATATTCCAGCACTATTTCTTCAAAAGACCATCTTTTCTCCATTGAGTTTTCTTGGATCCTTTGTTATACGTCAGTTGACCAGAGACTATGTGGGTCTGTTCTTCTGTCCCACTGACCTGTGCTTCCTTAGGTCAATGTCACACCATCTGGATTATCGTAGCTTTCTTGTGAGCTGGAAGCTAGGTAGTGATTTCCAGCTCCAAATGTGTTATTTTTCGAAATTGCTTAATTTAGATCATTTACTTTTTCTATAGCCATTTTAGAAACAGCTTATCAGTTTATACAAAAAAGTTCTGTTAGGATTTTGGTTGGGATTGTGTTTAATCTAAATTTCAATTTGGGGAAAGTTAACATCACAACAGTGTTGAGTTTTGGGATCAATGAACACTGAATATCTCTCCATTTAGTTAGTCTTTAATTTTCTCTCATGAATGTCTGGAGTCTTCAAGCATACAAATATTGTAAATATTTTGTTGGATTTATTCCTAGGTATTTCATATTGTTTTGGTGCTGTTGCAAAAGGTATTATTTTGTGATAAAATAACTTGTTGCTAGTATGAAGAAATATATCTGATAAATATAATTGATTTTTCTCTTTTGACCTTTAAATCTGTTAATTTGCTAACCTCATGTGTTCCAGGTAGATTCTTTGGGATTTTCTACGTAGATGATCATGTCATATGTGAATAAAAATGCCTTTAGTTCTTTTCCTAGTTCACTGTTGAATAGAAGTGGTGAGCATAGAGGTTTTGCATTGTTCTTTATCTTAGGGGAAAGACAGTAAGTCTTTTACTATTAAGTATGGCATTAGCTGCAAGTGTTCTTTTATAGATGGTCTTTATCAAGTCAAGGAAGCTTCCTTTTATGACTATTTTGCTGAAAGCTTTTATTGTGAATGGATTTTGAATTTTGTTAAAAGGCTTTTTCTACATTTTCCAAGATGATTATGTATTTTTCAATATATTAATATGGTGAATTAAAGGGACTCATTTAAAAATATTAAACCAATTTTGCATTCCTTATACATGTCCCATTTGATTCCATTGTATTATCCTTTTTATATATTGCTGAATTTGAGTGGCTAATTCTGTGAAGGATTTTTTCATCCATCTTAAGGAGGGATAGTCTTTTCTTGTAATGTCTTTGTGTAGTTTGGATATCAGAATAAGGTTGGGAAATGTTCACTTCTCTTCTGGAAGAGTTGATGTCGAATTGTTCTTATTCCTTCCTTGAATGTTTGCTAGGATTCACCAGTGCATATGTCTCTGCCTAGGATTTTCCATGTTGGAAGATTCTTACCACAAATTCAATTTCTTTAATGGATAAAAGGCTACTGAAGTTATGAGTGGGCTTTGTTAGTTTTTGTCTTTCAAGGAATTTATCCATTTCATTTATCATCTCTTAATCTCTGTAGGACACGTAGTGATGTCCCCTTGTTCATTCCTGATATTGTTATTTATGTCTTCATTTTTTTCCAGACCAGTTTTTCCCGAGATTTATTAATATTGTTAATATTTTCAAAACACCGACTTTTAGTTTTATTAATTTCTTCTATTGTTTTTGTTTTTGAATTTATTGATTTCTTTTTTTTTTTAAGATTTTATTTATTTATTTGACAGAGAGAGACACAGTGAGAGAGGGAACACAAGCAGGGGGAGTGGGAGAGGGAGAAGCAGGCTTCCCGCGGAGCAGGGACCCCAATGCAGGGCTCGATCCCAGGATGCTGGGATCATGACCTGGGCTGAAGGCAGACGCTTAACCGACTGAGCCACCCAGGCGCCCCTTGAATTTATTGATTTCTATGAACATTTATTATTTCTATTCTACTTACCTTATATTTACTTTATTTTTCTTTTTCTGTGTTCTTAAGGTGGAAGCTTAGACTAGGATTAGATTATGATTGGAGACCTTCCTCATTCTCAATATAAGCATTTATTGTCCTTAGCTTTCTCTCTATACTGCTGTAGTTATGCCCCACAAATAATGGTATTTGTGCTTTTATTTCCATTCAGTTCAAAATATTTTTCTAGGGGCACCTGGGTGGCTTAGATGGTTAAGCGTCTGCCTTCGGCTCAGGTCATGATCCCAGGGTCCTGGGATCGAGCCCCACATCGGGCTCCCTGCTTGGCAGGAAACCAGCTTCTCCCTCTCCCTCTACTGTTCCCCCTGCTTGTGCTCTCTCGCTCTCTCTATCAAATAAATAAAATCTTTAAAAAGAAAAACCAAAAAAACAATATTTTTCTAATTTATTTATAATTTCTTAATTTCTTTTTCACCTATGGGTTACTTAGAAGTGTGTTTAACATTTCCAAGTATTTAAATTTTCTCTTGATATCTTTCTACTACATATTTTTAATTCATTTTTTTGGAAAGGTGCAGAGAACATACTTTGGATAATCTCAATTATTTTAACTTCGATGAGATTTGTTTCAGCATATAGTCTGTTCTGATGAATATTTTATGTGCACTTGAAAATACTACATATTCTGTTGTTGGATGATGTATCTATCCTACAAATGTCAATTGGGTCAAATTGATTGATAGTATTGTTGAATTCTTTTATTTCCTTTTTTTTTTAAGATTTTTTATTTATTTATTTGACAAAGATAGACAGAGAACACAAGTAGGCAGAGCATCAGGCAGAGTGAGAGGGAGAAGCAGGCTCCCCGCTGAGGAAGGAGCCTGACGGGATCATGACTAAAGGCAGCCACTTACCCGACTGAGCCACCCAGGAGCCCCAAAATCTTTTATATCCTTAACTCATCTTTTATGCACTTATTTCACATCTTACTGCGAGGTGAGTGTTGAAGTCTCCATTTCTAGGTGTGAAAATTCTTATTTCTACTTGCATTTCTATGATTTGTGTTTTCTGTGTGTTTTTTTTTTTTTAAGATTTTATTTATTTATTTGACAGAGAGATAGACAGAAGAGCACAAGCAGAGGGAGTGGCAGAGGGAGAGGGAGAAGCAGGCTCCGCACTGAGCAGGGAGCCCGATGCGGCACTCGATCCCAGGACCCTGAGATCATGACCTGAGCTGAAAGCAGATGCTTAACCATCTGAGCCACCCAGGTGCCCTGTGTTTTCTGTGTTTTTGAAGCTTTGTTGTTTGATTGCTGTGCCCCCTGGATTTATCAATTTCTTTCTCATTCTGTAATGTCCCTCTTAACCCCTGGTAATGTTCCTTGCTCTGAAATCTACATGATATAACATGAATACAGTATCTTCAGCTTCTTTTGTGTAGAGTTTGAATGATGTAACTTTTTTCATTCTTTTACTTTTAACTCATCTATGCCTTAATATTTTAAGTGAGTTTCTTGTAGGTTGTGTAAAGTTGGTGCTTGCCTTTTTGAAAAATCTCATCTGAAAATGTCTACCTTTACATTGTGTTTTTTCACCCATCTACCTTTAGTATTTAATGACATGATTGGATTTGAACCTAGCTTTCTGCATTTTATTTTCCATTTGTGTTAGCTCTCCTTTGTTCCTCTTTTCCTGGCTTCTGTGGGATTGAGTATTTTTATGACCCCATTTACCTGTTGGTTATTCATAGCCCTTCTCTTTCAGTTTAATTTTTGGTGCTTGCTTCAGGGGCTCAATATCATCTTTAGCTCTTTGCAGTCCTTCTTGATATTGTGACAGTTTTTGTGTAATTAATGACTTTCATTTTCTTTCCCATTTTTTTTATTGTTTTCAGATATTTTACTTCCATGTACTCTGTACTCTACAATGCACTGTTCCTGGTTTTGCTTTAGATAATTTGTTATCTTTTAAAGGGACAACACATAAGAAAAGAGTCTTTTATACACACCCTCATTTTTATCACTTTGAACATTCTTCCTTTCTCTGCGTAGATCAGTTTCCCATCTGATAATATCTCTTCTGCCTGAAGAACTTCCTTGAACATTTTTTTGTAGCACAGATCTTCTGGCAGTAAATCCTTTCAACTTTTGTTTGTCTGGAAAAGTCTATTTCTCCTTCTTTTTGGTTATAGTTTTAATAATATGTAAGTCACCCACTTAAAGTGTGAATTCACGGGGTTTTAGTATATTCACAGGATTATGCAGCTGTCGCCACAAATTTAGAACATTTCTGTCACCCCAAAGAAGCCCTGTACCTTTAGCTGACACTTCTCACTTCCCCTGTCCTGAGCCTGTGGCAACCACTCATCCACTTTCTTTTTCTCTACAGTTGGCCTTTTCTGGCCCCTTCATAAAAATGGAATCATACAGTATATGACCTTCTATGTCTGGCTTCTTTCATGTAATATGTTTTCATGGTCCATCCATAGTGTAGCCTATATCAGTACCTCATTCTTACTTATTGCTGAATGATGTTCCATTGTATGGCTAGGCCATGTTTCATTTATCCATCTGTCAGTCGATGAACATTTGCGTTGCTTCCACATTTTGGCTACTATGAATAATGTTGCTGTGAACTTTGTGTGGACGTGTTTTTCATCTTCCTGGGGTACAGCCTAGGATGGAATGGCTGGGTCATATGGTGGCTGTTAAACTGTGTGAGGAAATGTCAGACTGTTTCTTGAAGCAGCTGCACCATTTTACGTTCCCAGCAACAGTGCACGAGGGCTCTGATTTACCTGCAGCCTGACTTGTTATTTTCTAGGTTTTAAAAAATATTTATTTTAGGGCACCTGGGTGGCTCAGTCGGTCAAGCATCTGCCTTCAGCTCAGGTCATGATCCTGGGGTCATGGGATTGATTCCAGCATCGGGCTCCCTGCTCAGTGGGGAGTGTGCTGCTCCCTCTGCCTCTGCCCCTCCCCCTCCCCCTGCTCATGCTCACTGTCTCTCTCTCTATCAAATAAATAAAATCTTTTTTAAAAAAATAAAATAAAAATATTTCTTTTTAAAAACTTCTTATAGTAGCCATCATAATGGATGTGAGGTGGTCAGCGCCTTCATTTCTACAAGATATGTTTGCTAAGGATAGAATTCTGGCTTGGTAGGTGTTTTGGTTTGGTTTGGTTTGGTTTGGTTTTTCCATCACTTTAAGCTGTTGCTCCATTGTCTTCTAGCTTCCTTAATTTTTGTCTTGTTCCTCTGAGTGTCTGTGCTTCCTTCCCTCTTCGGTTCTGTTCAAGGTTTTCTCTTTAGTTCTGGTGCTCATCAGTTTGACCATAGTATGTCTACATTTCTTCTTCCTGTTTGAGGATCTATGAGCTCCTTGAATCTGTGAGTTGTTGTGTTTCACTGATTTTGAATAATTGTTGTTGTTTTATTTCTTTATATATTCCTTCTCCCTGTTTTCTCATTTTACTCTGGGACTCCACCCCCACCTCCTCTTCTAGGCTTCTTGATTTTGCCTGACACTCTTAGAGACTCTGTTTTCTTTCTTCTCCTATGTTTCATGTTGGGCAGTTTCCTGTCTTCAAGTTCACGGAGACTTCCCTCAGCTGTGTCAATTCCTCGTGTGAGCCAGTCAAAGGAATTCTTCACCTTTGATGTCATGATCATTGTTTCTAATGTTTCCATTCAAGCCTTTCTCATAGTTCCTATTTCTCTGCTGATCCCTATCCCTTCATTCATGACGTTCATCTTTTCCATTAGACCCTTGAGCATATTAGTCATAGTTATTTAAATGTTCTGTCTGGTAGCTGCAACAACTCAGCATCTCTGAGTCTAGGTCTTCTGATTGCTTGACAATGGGTGGTTTTCCTTGTTTTTTGTTTTGTTTTTCTGTGTCTTGTAATTTTTTATTGAATATCAGTCATTGTCTGTAGAGGAACAGTAGAAAATATTTGAGGAAAATAATATTTAAGCACAGATATGGACACATCTCTTCTTGAGTTAGTGTGTGGGTTTGAGTTGACCCAGGAACTAGTTGAACTGGGTTAGGGATTTGTAGTTTTTGTCATTACGCCCAGTCCAACATGGGGTTCAGATTCCTCATGGTGGGCTGCCAGCACACCGTGCTCAGTGTGGTGCCTGGAACACTGCAGGCTCTATTCCATGCTCCTGCTGCACCCTCAGCTTCCAACACACCCTGCACACCTGCACCACAGAAGGGTCCCTCTCTGCAGCCTTGCCCCTCACCCAGCTAGACTGCTGTTGCTTGTTACTCACCTTGAGGCTTGTTTTGAGGAAAGGGATCTCAGATTCTTCTGTGAATTCTTCTGACTAACCCTTAGATTAGTCAAGGCATTTATGCCTCAACTTGGGCAGTCAGCCTTCTGAGGATCCCTGCCCTCCTCCACAGCAGCCAAGCTCTGCTCTGTGTCAAGGGGCCTCTGTTTTCCTCCCCAGGGACAGGTGTTTGGGGCTTTGCCTCTTACCCTAGAGGCAGGGATTCTTTTCTAGATCCTGGGGTAGGAAGGAAGGAGGGGTCTTACTTTCATCCTTATCCTGGTGACCCTGTGGACAAGAGGGCTTGCTTCCCTTCTCCCAGTGCCTTAAGGTTTTTGCTTTGGGTGCAAGATGGGTTCTGGCTGTGGGGAGAGTCTTGTACCTGTCCCAGGCAGCAGACAGCCTCTTGCATGTCTGCACCAGGCGGAGAGCCCCTCCAGCTTCTGCCCTGCCTTCACCTCTCTTGTCTCTGGGCTCCAGCGATTCCAAACTGACCTGCCAGCCCACATCAGGCCCTTAGAATCATGTTAAAATTGGAGCTGATTTCTTCTTACCCACTTCCTTGTCCTTTGCTCTGCCAGAGGCTGCCTTGGGACCTCAACTCTTTAAAGGAAAGATAGGATTTTATAGATTCTGGGTGAGACATTCTCTTGTGATTTTCTTTTATTTATTTATTTATTTATTTATTTATTTATTTATTTATTTATTTATTTATTTGAGACAGAGAGAATGAGAGACAGAGAGCGTGAGAGGGAGGAGGGTCAGAGGGAGAAGCAGAATCCCTGCCGAGCAGGGAGTCCGATGCGGGACTCGATCCCTCTTGTGATTTTCTACATCATAAGCAAAGGAGGTTTTCTTGTGATTTTAAAATCACTTTTTTTCCTTCTTTGTAAATTATGTCTTTTGATAGTTACCCATTTATCTTGTGAGATCTTAGTATTTTTATTGAGTTTCATGATCTCCTCATATAGTAATGTTATTAACTTTTTAATTGAATTTACTGCAAATACTGTTTCAGCTTGTTTTTAGCTCCTTAATTGCACGACATCTGTAATAAAGAGATGTAAAATTTTAATGTGGTGGAATCTGCTGGCTTTTCCTGTTGCGAATTCTTTTTATCTTCTCTAAGCCTAAGAAGGCCTTTCTCTCTGGAGATTTGAGAAATGCTCATTTCTACTTTCCCTGTTTTGATTTTCATCCTCAGTTCTCTTCAGCCCACTTAGAATTTCATTAGGAAGGCAGTACCCATAGATCTATTTTTCTTTGACAATTAACCAAATAATCTAGTATTTTTGAGTTATATCCTTCCCCTTAGCTTGGAACATAATGTATGTGGAATATAATGAGGGGCCTATTTTCTGAACCATGTGATCTTTTTCAGTCATGTGGTCATTCATGAGGTTGGAGTTTATCCTGCTTAGTAAAATTGCACGATTTTGTCTAGAGAAACTATTTTCTGTTACAAAAACTTTGCTGTATTTCTGCCAGGCCCATGTTGTACTGGTCTCTCTGGGTACCATGGTCACAGGTGTCTCAGGGGTCACTGAGTGAGTCCATTTTCCTTCACTGCTGCAGCTATGTGGCCGGCTGCTGGGCTCTAGGGAACAGCATTTAACGGTGGGCCACCAAGCCGCTGTGCAGCCTGAGCTTGAACAGGATGTCATCTGACCCTCCAGGCTGCGAGGTCAGGAGTGCACCACAGCACCCCATCATCAGATGGATGTGGAGCATAGACGAGATTGGCTCGAGCAGGCCTGAGACACAGGTGAGTTGTCCAGTTCCCACAGTCCCTCTCCTGCTACAGCACCTTCTCTCTCCCGCTCACCCCTGTGGCCTCGGGGAGCCTCCCTGTGACCAGCTGACCGAGAAAGAGAAGACGTGGGCCTGGCTTGCAGGTGGTTCTGCCTGACACGCAGGTGTCACCCACGGTGGGCTGTTGCGCAGCTTCTGTTCCACCTCAGGTAATAACGTCTATATTAATTTTCCGTTGCTGCCAAACGAATTGCCACAAATCTGGCAGCTTAAAGCAGCGCAGACTTGCTGTCTCATAGTTCTTCAGCCGGAAGTCTGGGGAGGGGCTAAGCCCACGTGTGGCAGGCCGCGGTCGTTTCTGGAGGTTCCGGGGGGGGGGGGGGCGGGGCTGTGTCCTTGCTCACTTGGTTGTTAGCAGAGCTCAGCTCTGTGTCATTGGACCGCAGTTTCGATTTCCCTGTGCTGTGTGCCCAGAGGCTGTGTCAACCCCTGCTAGGGGCGCCTTCTTCCATCTCCAGGCCAGTGGTGGTGGCCCTCGTCCTCCTCAGGCTGAGCCCTTAGGGCCTTCTCTGGGAAAGGGTCTCTGCCTTTAGGACTTGTGTGATTGGATGGGACCACAGACCCCATCTCAGAGTCTTAACCTGAGCATATTTGTGAAATCGCTCTTGTCACATAAAGGAACCTGGTCACACGTTCCAGGATTAGGATGCGGACAAAATCAGGGGACCCGTATTTGCCCCCTCGCTGAGTGTTCCCTGGGTGTTCACAACGTAAACACTAACCCTCTTTCCTAAATCAATATAGTTGTTCCATATGGGATGGAAGAGTCATGTTTCTAAGAAATCTTGTATTAAAAACAACATTCTGAAACAAATTGTGTGCATGGATAAGATGGAAGGGGGCTAAAAATTCTGGATTTATGGCGACAGTGTAAATATTCTACAAAAATCTCACTACTAAAGGCACTTTATAACTGTAAGTACATTTTTAATCGACAGATACACCATGTATACTGGTTAATCAAAATAGACATAGTCAAACTTAAATGTGAGCCATGTCCGTGGTGGGAAGTTCTGGGACCTTTACAAGAGGCAGAAGCAGACAAACAAACGGCGCTTGCCGAGCCCTTGCCATGCACAGAAGCAGCTCGTCTCTCTGGGCTGAGCGCTACGCACCTTGCTGTCTGTGTCAGGAGCGCTGGTTCTCAGGACCGGGGCTCTTAGAGCCAACGGCGGCTGCCCACTGCATCCCCAGTGAGCAAATACACTGACCCCCACCCGCGGACAGAGGTCAGGAGGTGGGTGTTTCCAGATGCTGCCCTGAGCAACTCTCCTTTTTCCTGAGAGCGCTATTTCTGGAGTAGAAGGGGAAGGCTTCACCCTGACCACCACCCCCATCCAGATTATGCAGAGATGCCTTTAAATGCAATTTTACTTTTTATATTTGATAATTTATCAGAATTTGTGATTCACTGGTGCTATCGGAACCAGTTACACAGCTGTAATCTTTGCAACAATTACTCAACCTGGAAGACATTTTCACAACCTCAGCGCTGAAGGTCTCAAGGAACATTTATTTATTTATTAAAGATTTTATTTATTTTTTTGACAGAGAGAGACACAGCGAGAGAGGGAACACAAGCAGGGTGAGTGGGAGAGGCAGAGAGAGAAGCAGGCTTCCCGCTGAGCAGGGAGCCTGATGCGGGGCTTGATCCCAGGACCCTGGGATCATGACCTGAGCCGAAGGCAGATGCTTATCGACTGAGCCACCCAGGTGCCCCTCAAGGAACATTTAAATTTCCAGTTATATATATTTTGTCATAAAGGTGTAAGAGAGGGATTAATTACAGGCCTTAAAACAAGCAAAAAAAGTTTTCCATTGGGGGCAATGTGTATTCCCCTATTCCATGGGGCAGGTGGAGTGTAAGAAAGAGGAAGGACCGTGTAAAACTTCTACGGAAGTTGGTGTCATTGCCATGTTCCTAAACAGGTGTCCGCGGGACTCCCATCTCTGTTTTGGCTCCCTTTCCTGTGGTGCCTCCCGCTCACTGGACCTTTCTCTTGCGGGTGTGGTTCTGCGGCCGGCTCCAGGCGCATCCTTCACTCCCACCTGCGCTCTGCTCTCCGTGGTCCTGATTTGGATCCTTCGACGTTTCCACGTCTCTTGTTCCCATGCTCCCACTTCCTGCACCTTCCTGAGCGCGTGGGTGTTACTGGGACCGCCACTCTCCGGTCCTCACCTGCGAGGTCTGCGATCTACGTCTGCGTTTGTTTCTCTTGGTTGGTTTTTCCCTCCTCGTTACGAGTCCCGCTTCCCTACTTCCTCACCTGGCATTTTCCCCCTCAGTTTTATTGAGAAATAATTGACAGCCCGGTCATTTTGATTGGATGCCAGATGTGGTGAATTTTGTATTCTTGGGGTTGAATTTTTTTTTGCATTCCTTTAAATATATTTTTTTAAGATTTTATTTATTTGTTTACAGAGCACGAGCAGGGCGGGGAGGGGGCAGAGGGAGGAGAGAAGCAGGTTCCCCGCTGAGCATGGAGCCCAACACGGGCCTCGATCTCATGACCCGAGATCATGACCCGAGTGGAAACCAAGAATCAGACGCTCAACCCACTGAGCCCCCCAGGTGCCCCTCTTTAAATATTTTTGAGCTTGGTCCTGGGCCCCAACTGAGTTGTTTGGAAAGAAGCGGCCCCCTTCGACAGAGGCAGAGAACTTTCGGGCAGGCTAGGCTGGCCCGCCCCGGAGGCCGTGCATTCACGTCTGCTCTCCGATGCCTGAGAGTCACAGCTTAGGCTGTCTGCAGTGAGGAGGATCTGTGTTGCACTGTCTCTCGTGGGGACAACAGGCTGGGGGCTCTGTCAGGAAGGAGCGCTGGGTCCTTGGGGGACACACTCCCTCTGGACCCTGGTCTCCTCACCTGAAGAACTGGCGTTTTGGCCGGCAATCCTGAGATTCTTTCCTGTGCTGGACATCTGTGTTCACGTCTCCACTTTAAATGGCGGTCAGTCAGGTGACGGGTTCAGCAGAAGCAAAACTGTGTATTGGTTCAGTATTTTGATTCTGTTATTTCTAAAACACTTGTATTGCCCCCGGAAACCATTTACGTGCTCAGTGGTCCACTGTGTAGAGCCGTAATCGCTGCCACTTTTTCTGTCTCGAAAGGGACCTGTTGGTATTAGTGCGATCGAAGCCTTCCTCCCTGGACTGAATCAGGCAAACGCAAAACCGAGCACAAAGCGGCTTTTGCACAAGGCGTCTTTCCTGGGACAGCCGTTCCCTCCAGTACTGGCGGTGAGGACCCTTTCCTCAAACAGGTGGTTGGCGACTACAGTTATTTAACATAATGTCTGCCCTCTGCCCTGGGAAGTGAGGTGGCAAATGTTAAATCACACCTCTGGTTTAATCGTCTATATTTTTGTGATTGTCGTGCTTATGATAATCATCGTTCTTATGTAACGGTAGAAACAAGTGTAAGATTTTTCCTTTGATGGAGAAACTCTCGCCTCCAGGAAGGCAGGGTAAACCTACTTTTCCCCAGTCCTCCCATCAGGACAACAAAACACTCTGGATATTGGATCAAAAACAAGTGTAAGAAGGCGAAGAAGGCAGGCCAACAAGGGACCCGGGACCCAGGGAGATGCAGCGGTGAGGTCCCTGGGTCTTTGCCGGGGCTGAAGAAGCTAGCGGCTCAGAAACCCCAGCAGACACAGGCAGAAAGGGCCGCAGAGGAGCCTGCCCTCTCTAGCCAACGCACACAGATGGGAAACGAGCCGGTGAAAGGAAGGCGGTCGCTAATGATGGGGGAAAGCAGCTGAGAAGCACCAGAGGCGGTACTTTCGTTGCTGGCGGGAGGGTAGACGGGGCAGCCCCTCCGGAAGGCAGCTCGGCGGTGTCTCGTAGAACGCCACCTCCTCAAGTACGCGCGACCCAGACGTCGTGGGCGTTCTTTCCGAGAAAGGAAGACTGTGCTCATCACACACCTGTGCGCATGTCTCTAGGAGCACGGCGGTGGCGGCCAAGCCCGCGAACAGCCCGGACGCCCTTCAGCAGGTGAGCGGATTCCCAGGCTGCGGGGTTTCCACGCCCGGGAACACTGCACGTGGATGAGCCCCCGGCGCACACAACCTGGATGGGTCCCCAGATTTATGCTGAAGGAGAAAGCCAATCCCAGAAGGTCACGTCCTGATGACTCCGTTTCTGTAACATTCCTGAAATGACAAAATGCAGAGACGGAGGGCAGATTCGCCGCTGCCAGGGGCTAAGGAGGGGTAGGGTGGGCGCGGGGTTTCAGGGCGGTCCTGGGGAGATGCAGGCCGCGTCCTGGTGGCCATCCTGCGCTGCAGTTTCTCAGGATGTAGCCCCTGGGAAGCCGTGCGGAGGCGCGTGGGATCGCTCTGCATCATGTCCTACAGCTGCGTGTGCATCTACAGGGATTCACGCTGAAAAGTTCATGTCAAGGTTGGAGTTTAGCTCGCTCACGGGTGGGCCCGAACTCTGGCCATGAACCACAGAAAACCCTTTCGACGGGAAGGGAACGTGTTGGAATCAGCTGTGTGGACTGAGGACCGTGACTCACCACCTGGTTACAGATAAGATGTGGGTGTGTTGAAATCAGGGCAGAGGTTGTGTGGCTGACCCCGAGTCACTTCTCAGAGATGCGCGGCCAACTGTGGGAGCACCGGGTGTCCTTGTGGGATGGAGGGCGCCTCCCCGTCTGTCCCAGTCGTCACGGTGAGTCCCACGGCCTCGGCGGTGGCCGCTTGGGGCACAGGAAGGTGGCTACTTCCGCACTCCAGGTCCCGTCCGGGAGGCACAGCATCTGCTCCTGCCGTCAGCCGACAGGGAAGCTCCCCAGCCGTGACATCACGTGGCACACCTGGACTCTTGACCTCTGCTTCTGGCTTCTAGAAAACGCATTTCTGAGTCGAGCTGAGGCCTCAGCCTCTTTGCCCGCCTGCCCTCCTGTGGCTCCTCCGTCTGTCCTGTGGCCACCTCATGGCCAGC